CCGAAAAATTGCCTTAAACTTGCCCAAAAAATCTGAAAATCTGGGCAGATTTTCACAATTTTCGGTTGCCGACTTCGTGGCTTTATTCCGGCCGAATCACTTGGAGTTTTGGGGAGATTTTTGGTGGTAATTGAAGAGAACATTGTGGGCTTTCCAACTGTATCCAAGCCCGGTGGTCTTGATGGTCGGAAGTTGTCGGAAAATCGCCGCAAAACTTGTCCAAAAAATCTGAAAATTCAGTGACCGTTTGTAAAAGAAATTTAAAATTCAGTGACCGTTTTGTGATTTTCAGGTAACTTCAGTGACTGTTTGTGAAATTAACCCATTATTTTATTGAAAAATACATTGTTAAAAATAATAGAGAGAAAAATATATATTGTAAATGATGAAGACCAAACAAGGGCTTAAAGTAATGGACAATAATGTATATTTTAACACCACTTTATCAGAAGTTTTTAACAATTCCGTGAATGAGGATTATTTGTGCTAATTAGTGATAGGTTGGAGATGAAAGTCAGTAAAGAAATTAAGTGGGATGAAATTGAGAAAAGGTACAAAGATTGGGGACCCATTCTGTAATAAACCACAGGTATTAAAGCTTCTTATTTGTTTATTTTTTCCTGAAATCTCTCGAGGCACAAAATTCTATCCTTTCTTCTCCTCCTCACTGATGTCCCTGAGCTTGTTTTGCCGCGCTTCTCTTCCCACACAACTGCAAAGTCCTCTCTATCTCTCTCTAAATGTGTGTGTAGTTTCGGAAACTGGGTGAATGACTCTTGCTGTAATTTTACTCACAGGTGAGGTGCTCGCGACAGGCGGCAGGAAGAGGGGCCTTGAAAGAGTGAAAAATCTAATAAAGAGAAATGGGATTCCTTCAGTAATCACCTCTCCACTGGAATCACTGCAAAGTGGCAACTGGGTCAAGCTCATCTGTGGTGCTAGTTTTGAGGTACTCCTTCAAAAACCACTCTCAACTCCAATTGTAGGATTAAAAAACATAATGATATAGCCCGTGTTTGGCAAGCAGTATTGGTCGGTCTGAACAGAAGGTTTAGTCTCTTTTTTTTTCTTACTACTGTCCAGTGCTCTCCAATGCTCTGGCCAAACATGCTAATAGCGTTTCATCTTTATAATTCTTGCTTCTTTGATTTATTTAGGATGTGGTTGACATCAGGAACCTCTCTCTGGTTTACACTCTCGCTGGAGGTAAAATAATTAGGCTATCTTTTTTTTTTCCCCCGAAAGAACCCTTTTTATGAAAAGATCCTGCATATAAAGTTTAGGTTTAAAACTTCTTAGTTCACTAACTAGTCAATTCAATCTCAATAAAAAAAAACGCATTTGCGCATTTCTCTCCTTACACGGGGCTCTTGGGGGCGTCTAGAGGTTCCAAATAAATGCAAATTGGAAGGAGAGGAATTGAGCAGAAGTGGTAGCAATGGGGAAATGGAGTAGCAGGGAGAATGTAAGAGGAACAATGGGAAGGACTGAGGAAGAAAAAAGGATTCCAAGAAGGGGGGTAAGGGAATATTGGATTTTGACAAGAAAAGAGGTTTGTTTAAGTAACTTTGAAATTACTAGTGTCTTTATTGATATTCCATGCTCATGCTCGTTTATGGAATTATGGATTATGTACAATTTTTTGTCATTTTAATTTGTATTGAGAATCTTTATCTAGTGGAAGTGGTCAGCCGAAGTGGTTTTCTGAAGGAACTCTTTTTCCTTAGGCCTGTTTGGCCCCCATTCTTTGGGGTTGAAAATTTGTAGAATAGTGATTGATAGGAAAATGTGTGGTGGAAAAGTTTTAGATTTGTATGTAATATTATTTTATTTGAGAATGTGTGGTTGAGACGAAGAGAGAGAAAAAATTAATGTAATGGAATGAGAAAAAATGGGGCTCAAACGGGGGCTTAATTTTGTTTGCTGTGTTAAAGTTATGAAATATATAATCTTGAAGAGTCTATATATGTATGTGGAGTTGAGTGTTTTTACGTACTCCTCATAATAGTTGATTGCATCGATTGTGCTGCTGAGGCATCGGTTGTGAGTGCTGTAAATGAAGGGATTAAAGCAGCCAGAGGAATTGTGCCTATTCGCAGGCCTTGGGTAATGATCAGTGTCAATGATGATGAAGATCTGCATTTTCGTAAAGCTGGTAACTTTCCACTCTAGATAATAGGATTTTTTTCTTCAATATAAGAAGTTTCCGTTAGGTATATGTGCAGGTATGATCTATATTATACTTCTCCACCTATGATATGTATTTTTTCTTGCCATAAATTATAATTTCATGAATTACAAATACATAAAAAAAGGTGTTATTGCTGCATGCTGTTAATTTTGGGATTAACAAAATCAGGCATTGAGGTACAATTAGATGTTTAATCATACTAAAATATTACATTAAATAATGCATTCAGATTGCTCTGAACTTCTCCTGGCTCTTTTTTCCCAGTAAAAGGAAAAATGTAAGGAAACGAGCAGCAATTATTCAAGTTCTTATAGACTTTTGTTCATACAAAGATACAAATATATCTGTTGGAATTTCAACGAATGACAATACCCATTCAATTGTTGCTTACATTGTAAACGGGCATTAGCAGACCAGACAAATGGAGCAGCCAAATTTGTTGAGAGTATTCATGCGGTTTCATAATTTTAACACAATAGATTTAATTGTTTAGTTTTACGCCTCTGTAGCCCTATAACAACAATTAAAATATCATTTTATTCATTTTGAAATTTATTAGGATGAAGACTAAAGAACTGGTTGAAACAAAGTTCATGAACTACAGTCTTAGACCTACCAAGATTGATAACCTCGATTTTTTCTGGAAGTGCATTTAGATAAGAACTCTCTATGACTTATTACCATTGCCAGAATTTGATCCGAATGATTGTCCATTGGATTGCTCAAGGCCATGTGAGAATATCTGTCCTGCTCATGCAATCTTGAATTTAGGAGCGGCAAGTGGAGGCAATGTATGATTTGATTTAATTATTTAGTTACTTTGTATATAGCATAAACTTCTATATAGGAACCTCGATTTTTCACTGTGGCTTACATTTGTCATCGACATACTACATCCAGAAGCAGGCTGGAGTGGTGGCTGAACGCTGTTATGGCTGTGGTCGTTGCTTACCTGTTTGTCCATATGATAAAATAAGTGAGTGTGATTTCTTTATCTTCTTTGATTTATGTGTACACCTTGTCTCTCTCTTTGTTTTGCTGTTGAAGTATTGGCCTTGTCATTATTTGCTCAAGATTATGTTGCACTATGTTTACTATCCTTACTGTCTTTGTTGGACTAAATCTGGCTATTGATGTAGAAGCAATTACGTACGTAAGGGACATTACTGCTACAGCCGAACTTCTCAAACGGGATGATGTGGATGCCATAGAAATTCACACGAGTGGAAGGTAGCCTTGCAGGTGTCTAGATTTCTATAAATTATTTTTTTTCCATTTCCTATGGCTAAATATATCCCATGAATCAGTTGTCAATTTTACTTTTGTGGCATGCAAGATTGACGTTTAGATTTCATATTGGATATTTCAATACATTACAACACCAAAAAGAAGTAGCTATGCTTGCCCAAATTTGTATGCAGACTCCTCCAGAGCCAATTCGAGAAACTCTTCTAGAATCATCTTAAAGGAACAAAAACTTGTTAGGAATTAAACCTTGACCATATTACTCAGAGCAAAATGAAAAAAAAAGTACACAGATTTTTCGTAGTTCACTCTCAATTTAAGAGGTATGTCTTTTTGTCACTGCAGATTTTCCACTGTAATGAAGAAGCAGATTACAAGGTTTTCCTTACACCCCTCTGTCTAATCTCAGAGAAGAAACGACCCCGTCTAATTCCTTTACGTAACCTCAGAAACTAGGTCGATCCGAAATTGGGACTACCCCATTTTTGAAAATTCGTGCAGCATGTTCCTCATTTTTCTTCCCTCTTCCCATATTTGGCAATTTTTTCCTTTCCATCCCAGCAGTATAATAGTACACAAATTTTAGAAAAGTCGAGGAAAAAAGGCAGGAAAAGAAAACAAAAATTCTAAAGTTCACATTTAACACACTACCACATCCTCCACCTCCATGTGTCAAACCACATTTTAGAGCTGTCTGTTGCCGATGAAGTAGAAGGAATTCGATTCCTTTTCCTAATGGGCACCAAATATCTCCTTACTTTCGCATAGAACAAATCGTAGGTGGATAACATAACAAAATTCCCAACCAACGCGAAAAGCAACAAAGATTGTAGGTGAAGCCTTTAATGCCTACATGTACTCTGAGCAACACTTGCAAGTGGTTTCAGTTGCATACTGTGGGCATTGAATTCTACCTGTAATTGGAATCGTTGTTATTGGGCGATAGAGTCGATGCTGCTTAGCATTCGAAAATCTGTATTTAATCGGGTCGCTCCTTTTCTCTTTGTTTCTCCTCCATCTTTACTTATCCAAACCCATATACCCAAGCCCTTTTTTCCATTTCACTCCAATCATTTTCCACATAGAAGAAAAGTGAATTGCATTAAAGGATTGTGCTTAAGCTGCATTAGTTTTGAGCACAAACCTTTGATGTGATTCAGTTTACTTCTATATGGAAAATGATCGGAGTGAAATGGAAGAAAAGGGCTTGCGTATATGGGTTGGATTGGAAAAGATGGAGGAGAAACAAAGAGAAAGGAGTGACCCTTGGGAATACGCATATTTGGAATGCTTAGCAGCATCAAGGTTTTCCCCAAATAACAACAATAACAGGGGAATATTCGATAGGAGTATACATGGCAGTGTAGAGGGTATAAGTGAACAATAGAATTAGGCATGTAATATTTTTACTCTCTTTAAATTAGGGGAATATTCGATAGGAGTGAAATATCCTTATGCAACCTTTTTATTGTCTTTTCCAATTGATTCAAATTTGACTTTATGTTCTTAGGCAGGATGCTTCGTTCAGAGATCTTTGGAATGGTTTGGGCGATTCAATTGATAATGTGAGGCTTGTGGCAGTAAGTACAGTATCCACTTTCCTGTCTCAAGAAGAGAATAAATATTTTTTAGTGTTGTCAATTGTATAAGAAAGACAATTTCAGAATTTTGATTTTTTTGGACCGACAAATACGCTTGCTCTCGATCAAATGCAGGTCAGCTTTCCTGATCTTAGAGATTCAACCATATCTGCCATGAATGCCATGTATACTGCAATGAAGGCAAATCTGCGTTGCTTCAATCTATGGCAAGTGTGTGCCGTGTAAACTTGATGAGATTGGAAAACATCACAGACAATCTGTAGTTTCTTACCAAGCTGAATATCTGATGCTAAATGCAGTTGGATGGTCGACCCATGAGCGGAGACATTGGACGAGGCGCCACAAGGGAAGCCATTTCTTTTGCTTCATATTTAGCCGCAGCGAGAGATAGGCCTAAAGGTTTTTCGACTTCTTCTTGGGTGTTTTTTTAGCAAGCTGAATGTCTCCTGAAATTATTCGTCTTCTTATTACACAACAGGTTTTCTTCAGTTAGCTGGGGGCACTAATGCTCACACAGTTGAGGGGTTGAAGAAAAGGAGACTGTTCCAAACAAAAACCATATTCGGTATTAAATGTAGCTGTAGCTTTGAATTCTGATATGGTCTTTTACATTCACTGCATTATTGCATATTTGGTATGCAATACTCGAATGGACTGAACGGTATAATAGATAAAATTTTAGCTTATATTTATTTGTTCTTCTAGACCGTTGTGTACTTTATTGTCCACTTTACCAAACAAGCCATTGGTCCCTCCATTTAGTAACTTGAAAATGAATTTTATCGTTCTGTAGATGAATCAAATGATGGATCTGTGCACTTACATTCGGTTAGTTCATCTGACGCGTTGATTAGTGGAGTAGCTTTTGGTGGCTATGCCCGAAAGGTTAGTCCTTATCGTTACCTTCTATTTTATCTAATGCAAATTCTGTTGCAAATGGATTGATGAAAAACTTACGAAATTATTTTCTTAGTCAGATTGTTGGTCGGGTTTTGAGTTCCTTGCAATCGGAGGATGGTCGAGCTGTCATTGAGAACTACCCCGATCATCTTCTGAAGGCACTTATGGAATCCCTTGCTTTGGTTGGAACTGTTAAATGCTACGGCAAATAGTTCAATAAATCTAAGTCGGCTACATGAATATCTTCAAATTATCATTCAATTCGCCAATATTTTATGAAATCAAAATCTTTTACAATGATATTTTAAGGAATGTATTGAATAGTTCTAGTCAAATTTGGAGTCACTGCACATATATGAAATATTGCACTGCCTAGTCAAGGGTCACCTGCCATATTTTACTTGTATTGAAGTTCCTTGCCATTTTTTCTTCCGACTGGATTCATTGTATTCTTATCTTTGATCTTCAATTACTTCTAATTACAATTTTTGTTCAAATATTCGATTAGCGTGCGGAAAAAATATTTTATTGAACTTTTATATTTGTTGATTAAAAGGGCGATGGTTGAATAAATCTTTTATTCTCGAACGAATAATTTTGGTCATCATCAAGGATAAGATATGCTAATTAATAGAGAATGGGGATAAAAATATGACAAAAAAAAAAAAAAAAAATCGATATATAAGTACAACTATGAGCAAAAATTAAGGACCTTTATTGATATTAAAATGTAGCGTAATTTAAAAAAAGTGAGTTATGGTACAAATTAAAATCAAGATTTTATTTCAAGTTAAAGTCAATAATTTTAAATATAAATTTTATTAACTTCGAACAAAATTTACTAAAAAATTTGATTTTAATTGTAATCATGTGCTAATATTGCTTCATGTACAGAAGTAAATGTACCAGAAATTCCGCAGAATACTCACACCGTGTGGGGCCTGTGAATTTTTTTTAAAAAAAATAGACGGACGGACCACCCCATTGTGTGTATTCTGATGCATTTATGTTGAAATGTTTATGTACAAATAACTATTCCCTAGTCAATCACGGATTGCTACTTAAATTTTTAAAGTTTGGACTATGTAAATTTTTTAATTGCATGTGTCAGATAATTTTAAAAAAATGCGCCTGCAACTGGCATCTAGTCGAGGAATCTATATGGAAAAAAAAAAATATTAATATAATTCTAAAATAGTATATTGTAGAGTAATGAAAGAAACATTTGAGTGGTAAATAAAAAAAGATTTATTGATCAATGGTAAATTTATTGAGAATATATGGAGTATATTCTATGTATAGTATAATGATAAGTGTACATCATTTTTTTTCAATATGGTTGATACTTTGCTTATGTGCAGTGATGTAATTGATCTGTTTAACACGTGGAGAAAATATGTAGTATGATTTATAGTATAATGAAAGACCCATTTGGAGAAAATTTTAGATTTTTTTCGTCCAAGATTGCCTAATATATGTATCAATTATGTCCATGACGATCCAATAAAGAAAGAGTGAACGTCATCGGGCCTTTTTGAGATACGATTTGAATTGAAAAACATCAAAATGAGATAAAATGAAAAGGTTTTGAGGTGGGTCAAAGAATTTAGGTTGAGGATCATGTTCCTAGTTTCCGCTACATTTTTTCCTTAAAGAGTGAAAAATTTCGGAACTAATCGAATGTGGAGAATTTTATCGTATCGTTGATTCCGTCTTTCAAAGAAAAACAAATTAGGATTTCAAACAATGTGTGCACCAATTACTAGGCACGTAATTGCTCCAACAAATTAGTGGATTTTAAATTTTTTTAAAAAATATATGAATTTACAGCCCATAACTTTCCCAAGTATTTAAAATGCCGAACGAACAAATTGACTGGGTAGCCGTTTAGTTTGGTATGAAACTATTAAATTTGACCTGTGGCCGTACTGGACATCACTTTCAACTAATTTCATAAATGGGCGTCCACTACCCCCAAATTACCAGAAAAGGACCAAATTAATTAATGTATAAAATAAATTATTAATGTCATGTAGTTTTAAACATTGCAAAAATTAATTATTGGTACCAAAGTGAACGAAATCAAACCAAACAATTTGGTTCAAATTTTCATAATTGAGTTTGGACAAAATACCATATAATTCTCGGTCCGATTCAATTCTCTTTGGATCAAAACCGAATCATGCCAAACCTACTACGTATTCTATCATGCTTTGTGAGGAAAAATCGTGTTACGATTATATGCACGTGTAATACCTTTTTTTAATTTATGTTAAATATGTAAAACTTCCAAAATTATATTTGATAATGAAAATTAAACTATAAGTTTGACTTGTAAAAGTCAAGTTAAACCTGCTAAAAATGTATATGCAAATGGGTCAAACTTTTGGACTATAATTTAAATATCAAACAGTGACTATCATTTTAGTATAGAGACGTCGATTTGGACTCTTCAATTCCAGTAATGCACTTGACTGAGGTGACAGACATGTTTATTCTGCATGCAGATACACCATTACCCTTTAAAATTCAATACTCTCAAGCAGGCAACATCGAAAAAATATTTAAAAAATCAAACTTTAGTAGAAAATAGAACTTGCACTACTCTCTTACAATACTGAAATTTCCACTTTTACACTCGCATTCCATAATGGAAAAACCTATCTGAAAACTTGGGATCGTAAGTCGTAACTAGATTTGAATACCATTCTGACAGTCTCTTTCATGATCCCTTTTCCCTCTAAGGCATTTAAGAAAGTAGGCGAGACGAAAATTATATCCACAGTTTAGAGTTTATGAGCTCTGAGCATTGATAGGAAAGCTACGTGAATAATTTTTTAGACCCCCAAGCCCTCTTGAATGAGTTCTATTATATAAACTTTCAACGTGAATTGAAATCCATGTTTATTATACTAACCCCTGATCTATGAGTACGCTTACATTGATCGTACGTGCGGTGTTATATTAGCAATCGAATCATTCTTAACTAATTGTATAAGGAAGTGATCATTCCGAGTATTTTGTATTTACTCTACTATCGATAGGATAAAATGGAAAACGTTCAAATCAAGAAAGAATTAAATTCATTACTTTTGCATCATCAAATAATTTATTTATTTTTTATTGGATGATCAAGAAAATGGTCCCATAGGGTCGATGGCATTTTCGTAGTTATCCCAAACTCATTGGTCGTTTATTTCACAAATTCTTGATTGGTCAAGCCAACCTTCGGTTCCACCTACCCTCGATCAGCAGCCCTCCATCACTTCAAATCCCTTTCAAGTTTTCTTTCTTTAGTAAAAGTTGGACACCTCTCTCGAATGTACATACACAATACATACAAAACACTCTCATTTTTTCCGCACGAGACGGAGGGTGGTACAAGACGTTGTTCACATTAAAATTTAATAAGATCGTGACTTGTTTGAAAAAAAAAAATTTTAATGTGCCGAAAAAGATGCAAAAAAGATATTTTATTAAACTGTATTGTCTTCGACCATTCATTTAGAACATGAATGGCTAACGACCAAATGCAATGTGAACCCATAAAATAGTTGCTCTGTACAATAATCAAATGCAAGACCCCCCACACCCAACAGTCCATCACCCACCCACCCACCATGGCCATAGCCTACTTTTTAACAACACGCGTCCTATATAAATTCAATTTCCCTCTACTCTTCTCCTGAACATAAACTCCCAGGTTGTTTCTTTTTCTAATTATTATTCAAGGCCGATACTCTAATTCTTTTGGATTCAAGGTTTGGTACGTTTTGTTCAATTCTTGCAGTCCTTGTTCAAATCTTCATTCAAGTTTCTTGGTTGCGTAATTTTGTAGTCTTGGATCTGTTTGTAGTTTTGTATGATCTATCATTCCAATCAGTGTCTGTTACTGGAAAAGGGTTTAATTACCTGATATCATTTTAATATAATATTTTTCGATGTTCACGAGGAAACATGCCTTCATTTGTTGTTTACTGAAGCTATTGTAGGATTTAAATTCTCTTGGAAAACAGATCTCTGCTTTAACGGTTACTTAAAAGTTCTGAAAGAAAGTTTTCTGTTTGGGATTTTTTGCTTGCGATTTGTCGATTGGGTGTATAAACTAAGATCTGCATTTCGGATAAAGTGAGAATTCTTACTTGACATGCTGTAATTAGTTTTTTTGATCGATCAGATTTCAAGGTTATTATTGTCGTAGCATTACAATTTATTGCATAAGTTCAATGGAGCAACGATTTGCTCCAAGATTTCTTTTTTGTCTATCATCGAAATGATCAAGAGTGAAATTATGTCCTGATCTTGAAATTTTGATTTAGAACTTGTTATGCACAACTTGATTTAAAATACTAACTCAAATAGTTACTGATATCCCCTGCAATAGAAATGGCGTGCAATTTAACAGCATATTGAAATTTTTGAAGTTTGTTCGATCACCAGATTTGTTTAGACGAGCTCATAAGTGAGTCTTTCAGGATTAGCTTGGATGATTGTGGGAAAATATTAGTTAATTGGGTTGTGCTTCTCTTGTGATTATACACATGCCCTCTAATGTTATAATTAAATAGTTCTTGTTTACTGGATTTCTTATTCACATATTTAATTTATAATATTCGGAAACACTTTATATATTTTCTAAGATTTCACGTGTGCTGATTTTAAGGTCTCATCCAGGTGTTTCTGCGGGAAAATATCATGGCAACTGGCCAACTTTTCTCGAAAACTACACAAGCATTATTTTACAATTACAAGCAACTGCCTATTCAGCGGATGCTTGATTTTGACTTCCTTTGTGGTAAGTATGAGAGTAACATCTCATGCTGTAATTTATACGACTGAAAATGAGTTTGCTGTTTTAGTAGGATTTTCATTGTTGATCCCCTTTTGTTCCCTGTTTTGCAGGGAGGGAAACACCTTCTGTTGCTGGAATTATAAATCCTGGTTCTGAGGGATTCCAGAAACTCTTTTTTGGCCAGGAGGAAATTGCCATTCCGGTTCACTCCACGTATGTGTTTATTTTTTCTACTAATTCGTATTGCGTAGTTTTTGATGTGACTTGAATGCTAAAAGATGCTTGCCTTTCTTCCTTGTGGCAGTATTGAAGCTGCCTGTGCTGCACATCCTACAGCTGATGTTTTCATTAACTTTGCATCATTTAGAAGGTTTGCCTTGTTTAGTTTGCAAATATCTCAATGCCATTTTCTTGTGTTGTCATAATAGCTGTAATTACACTGTTCTTGCAGTGCTGCTGCTTCGTCCTTGTCTGCTCTTAAGCAGCCGACCATTAGAGTTGTGGCTATTATAGCTGAGGGTGTCCCAGAATCAGACACCAAGCAATTGATTGGGTATGCAAAGGCAAACAATAAGGTAATGCCAAAATTTATTTTGATCTCTGATTGGAACGATGAAACACATTTAAAATAAATATTTCTTTTTTACCCGAAAGCTTATCTTAGTTATCTATAATATTGCTTATTTGCTTTTCCTTTGGGACTGCTATTCAGAGCCGTGTTTGATTATATTGATGAATGTGTTTCAGGTTGTCATTGGCCCAGCTACTGTTGGAGGTATTCAAGCTGGAGCATTTAAGATTGGTGATACTGCTGGAACAATTGATAATATTATACACTGCAAATTGTACAGACCTGGATCTGTTGGCTTTGTGTCCAAATCTGTAAGTAATCATATCAAAGTTTTTTCTTCGTTTGTTTTGTACCAAATACATAGTTTATTATGTATATAAGGTTTTCTTTTGCGCATTATCATGAAGTATACTAATTCTTTGTTCAAAAGATTCTGGGCCAAGGTTTTACCTATTGATGCATCTATGGCTATACAGTCTGATTAATGGACATGCTTAATTGAATAAAGCTTTATTCAGTACTTCTTGTTGGCAATTTATTGTCCTTTTCCATTCTTCTCAAAGGCTCTCTCTAAAGTTTTCAGTGATGCAATTTAAAATCTTTAGTCATATGCATTTTCTGCTTTTAAGTAGGATGGCATAGCAATGATCAAACTTTTTTTTATGATACTACATTATTTACCTTTAATGGAGCATAATTATTAGCTGAATCTGCATATTTATGATTTACATTCTAACAATCTCTCTCTTGATTTACAGGGTGGTATGTCTAATGAATTATACAGCACCATTGCCCGTGTCAGTGATGGAATTTATGAAGGTGGGAAATTTAACTCCTGCATCTGAAATGAATTTTGCTTTATGTTATTTTTGGTGAGATTGGAATTTATTCTAAGCTTAATTGTGATTTTTATAGGTATTGCCATTGGAGGAGATGTGTTCCCTGGGTCGACGCTTTCTGATCACGTCCTGCGATTTAACAATATCCCTCAGGTATATAAGTTTATTGGTAAAAATGATAATTTTATTTGTATAACTTATATCCTTGGTAGGGGAACCTTGATCGTAAAGTTGCATATTCATTTTATTATGAAAAAGCATTATCAAATTAATGCTGGCATATCATGCTCTGTTTTGTAAACTACGTTTGATTAAGTTTTCATATTAAGAGTTCTCAAACATTGACAGAATTTGTGAAACTATTCACTTGATTTTTAGGGACATGCTTTTCACCCAACCGTTTTGTTCCATATTTTGTCTGGGGAGGGCATGTAAGATGACACTAATGTTCTCTTAACTTTGATTGTCTTACTCAAACCAGGTCAAAATGATAGTTGTTCTTGGTGAAATTGGTGGACGTGATGAATACTCCCTAGTCGAGGCTCTCAAACAGGGAAAGATCACCAAACCTGTGGTTGCTTGGGTCAGTGGAACTTGTGCTAGGCTCTTCAAATCAGAAGTACAATTTGGTCATGCGGTGAGAAAATACCATCTCTTGGTTATATCTATATGATGATATACAACGTAGGAAATATCTTAAACTATACTTTATTTATATATATTTAGGGGGCAAAGAGTGGTGGTGAGATGGAATCTGCACAGGCCAAGAATGAAGCACTTAGGGAAGCTGGAGCTGTCGTACCCACTTCATATGAAGCATTTGAAAGCGCAATCAAAGAGACATTTGAGAAGTTGGTGAGTAAAATATACTTTTAAGCAACATTTTATTTCCAATCACTGTTGAATATTGTACTTTTCTTTTACGTTTAAGAATATCAAGTTATTTATTTGAAAGTATCTCTCATCTTTCTGTTAATTTAAATAACTTGTTTCCAATTTTGAGTGACAAAAAAATTTATTTATTTTAAAAACTTGCTACTTATAAGTAAACTTTTCAAGCGTAGCAATGCTCTTGCTGTTCATATGTTATGCTGTTCTCAAACACCTACTTTGGTGAAATGCCTGGTCGCATTTTTTGCAGGTTGAGGGTGGAACAATTCCACCAGTGAAGGAGGTGACACCCCCTCAAATTCCCGAGGATCTTAATACAGCTATTAAGAGTGGAAAAGTTCGGGCTCCAACACATATTATTTCAACAATCTCTGATGATAGGGGTGAGTATGACCTTGTTCGTGTGTTAGGAAACTTTTTATAGAATGAATAAAAAAGAATTCAAAGTGCTCATAATAACTCGTAATTCATTTTCCAGGTGAAGAGCCAACTTATGCTGGCATTCCAATGTCCTCCATTGTTGAACAGGGATTAGGTGCGGGTGATGTCATTTCCTTATTGTGGTTCAAACGAAGCCTTCCACGATATTGTACACGTTTTATCGAAGTGAGTTTCTTGTAACCTTGTATTTCCACTTCCTGTTGTTTTAACTTCCAGGGTTGTGCATTTAAGAAGAGGATTACTAGCCAGTTATTTTCTATTTTCAACTGTCTTTTCCAATTTTGCTTTTGAACTTATTCCCATTGTCTCATGACCAGATCTGCATCGTGTTATGTGCTGACCATGGTCCCTGTGTCTCTGGTGCTCACAACACGATTGTTACTGCTCGGGCTGGAAAAGACCTGGTGTCAAGTCTTGTTTCAGGTGGGTTGCTATCTCTCTTTTGAATGGGATAGTACACTATTGCTTATCGGAAAAGGAAATATATGGAATGCTTTTGAAGTATTTCCTGAAAAATAATGTCATTATGGGTTCTTTTCATGATATCGGAGTGATGGATTTTTATTTTTTTTTTGGAAATAGGATTATTAACAATTGGTCCCCGATTTGGTGGGGCTATTGATGATGCTGCTCGATACTTCAAGGATGCTTATGACAAGGTAAGTTGTCTTGATTTATGAGAATTACCAGAGAAAATAATGCATCCGCATTGTTTAGCAATTCCGCTCCTTCTAAAATAGCTTATCGTGCGCTATGTCATTTCAGGGTCTTACACCTTATGAATTTGTGGAAAGCATGAAAAAGAAGGGCATTCGTGTACCAGGTATTGGACACAGGTAATAAGAACCTTGATGATAGTGACCTCTTTCTTAGCCTCTTTTTTTCTGGGCAATTATTTTTTATTTTTTTCGGGAAACATGATTTTTTCATGATATAATAACTCTAATACCTGAATGATCTTGCATTATTTTAGAGTTTTGCCTCTTCAAATCTCATTCTGACTAAATTTCATTTCATTTTTTTTTAAATAAAAGAATCAAGAGCGCCGACAACAGAGATAAGAGGGTAGAATTATTACAAAAGTTTGCACGTTCCAATTTTCCTTCTGTCAAATACATGGAATACGCAGTTGAAGTTGAAACCTACACCCTTTCAAAAGCAAACAACTTGGTGCTTAACGTTGATGGTGCCATCGGTTCCCTATTCTTGGATCTCCTTGCTGGCAGCGGAATGTTCACCAAACAAGAAATCGATGAGATTGTTGGAATCGGTTACCTGAACGGGCTCTTTGTGCTGGCACGTTCCATTGGTCTCATTGGGTGAGTTTGTCTATTATTGTCTTATAGAGGTTCCCATGCCGACCACATATGGCCTGGTACAGGACATGTAGTGGACCATGGCCTAGCAGCCTGGGTTGGCTCGCCCATTTCACACCTCCATTTCATCTTTTCCCATCTTTTTTTGAGTCCATGTTTATCTTCCTTATTGATAATTAAGTAAATTTGTTCTTTTCAAATTCAGGCATACCTTCGACCAGAAGAGATTGAAGCAGCCACTTTACCGTCATCCATGGGAAGACGTTCTCTACACCAAGTGAAAATTTTACTGATAAAAACGCGTGTGATGCCACCTGCCGCCTGCCTTATTCCAGCATTTTAATTCCTTTTTTGTTGTCAATGGTCAATTAAGTAAATGTACCGATTGTGTACTTGAATTTCAAGTTTTAGCAATACTTCACCAATTTTATCATTTATAATCAATAATTAATCGCCAGGAAAAGTTCTATGTTTGTAGCCTATGGAAGAAACAACATTTGCATTTTGAAAATTCCGATTCTGATAAAAGGGCTTTTCACCATTCTCTTAAAG